TGATTGATGAGAAAGCGAAACTTTTGCGAGTCTTTTATTGGTAAATTTGCAAAAGGGGCAACAAGCTGCAGCAGATCGTATCATATTACAACAAACCATCCCAGTTAGACGGCACTTACACTTAGTATTGGTCTGTACTCGTTAACGTTTGCAGCGTGGGCATGTGTACAGCGCATGTCGAAACATTGACGCTTCGCTGTATGAATAAGTTCAGCCATAAAATTTTGCCAAGCATGCTAGCTTATGGCTTCTAGCAGGTGACAGAAGCATGCTACCAACTATACTTCATCGGTGCTGACGTCACAGATTAGTGGTTACACAATGATTTTCCAAGGACCCTCAGATCAGCGTTTTTCAAAGACTTTTTCAGTTATGATTGACTTCATAAACTAGACAGCATAAAATACAAAATAACTAGGCTTATTACTGGCCGTCAGAGTCGCGGCTGGCTTGAGCACCTTGCGACGAACACGACCCATCTTCTGGGCAGTGTTTTAAATTATCTTGCCATTTGAGACCGACGACCTCGAATGCTCGTAATGCGGCTGCGAATCGGGTTGATGACGTCACCTAACTGAATAATGTCACCTAACCGAAAGCCATATTATGTGCAGGTGCTTGCAGAACCATGATAACCGTTGGATGAATGGGTGGAAGCAACTAGTATATGAAGGCCGTTGGATATTTAGTAGCCAGGCACTGTTTACCTTTGAATGTCATGGGGTTGATGTCAGATGTTGGGGATTGGGTGTCTTAAGGCTTGATGTGCGTGCATGCAATGCCTACCTATGTTTTCGTCGAATAACTTCTGCTGGATTTATTACAGACGTCTCCTTTCGTTTCGTTGTCAGCATAATGTATTAAGCCTATAATAGCGAAAATATTAACTGCATCATGAACAATATCAGGCTAGTTTTGACTGGATCTCGCGATTGGTGTGAAGTTTTATGATCCTAGATAAAAAGATGCATTTAGTCTCTACGCTTTTATGTAAGAGACCGTACCCCGTAGTGGCACGCAAACTAAATAGACGTGCTCTCGTTTTGATTATAAGCGCAATGATGCGTAGTTTTATGTGTTTTTGGCATGGATTTATCATGTGGGGCCTTGATAGTGCAGAAGCGTCGCCCCGCTGTCTGCGCCATCCGTTGGCCAACGAGGAGTGTTCCGAATAAAACATGGCTTCTCAAAAGCACGAATGCTGCGGACAAGTGTTTGGTGTCAAAATACGCACAATCTATGCCTCAGAGGGCACCAAAAATTTTGGGTGCGATTGCACCATATGCTGGAGACGTATACTCAGAAAACTTAAGGAAGGGGAATTCCCCCTCACCGGAACGACAGTCAACCTTGATATTTTATTTTGTGATTGCCACTTCACTACATGCTATGGTGCAGTATGGATTAATAAACCATGTGGTATTCATTGCGAGCGTTTTACGTAATACCGTGCCGCTAGCAATTCTGCTTTCTGAGAAACGTCTGGCTTTTAGGGACACTGCACGGCGATCTACGGCTAGCGCGGGCGACGGGCGGCAGCCGACGGTGCGCGTAATACGATTACCTTAGTGGATGACCACGTCATAAGTATGTGTAGAAACACGGCCAGTTAAATGCCTGGTCACTGCCGTAGCCTTATGCGTAAGGGCATGTGAAGTTCAAAAACGGTTGATTTTCAGGAGAATTTGACATTAGTCCTGGCCTTGCAGAGCCAATTATTAGTTAATCAACTTGAAATTTATTTCTTATTGTAAGGTGTTTTTGCGCCCGATCCACTGTTTCTTTCCAAGAGGCTCTATCTGTTTTGTTTTGGAAACGGCAGGGGGAGGGGGGAGAGCGCATCGGCTTCCTCCTCTCTATCAGTTCTTGTTATGAAAAACGGCAAATCAGGGTCCGGGTTGAGCGCTGCACAGCCCCGCGCCAGTGCTTCTCAGTGCCTGCGTCGGACACGAGACCTCTCCAATGTCAGACAGACGACGGCTCCAATGCCAGACGTGAGTCAACCCTATTGCCGAACATGCAGTCAATGTCGGACACGCTGCTGCCGGACATGCGACATCTCCTGCGCCAGACATGCTGCTGCATCTCCTATGCCAAACATACGGTCCCTCCATTGGCAAACATGCGGCCTTTCCTGCGTCAGACATGCTGCATCTCTGGTGCTGGACACGTGGCCTCTCCTGTGCCGGAAACACGGCAGCCCTAGTGCTGGACGGCCGCTCCTGTGCCGGATACGCGGCCTCTCCTGTGCCGGAAACACGGTGGCCCTAGTGCTGGACGACTGCTTCTGTGCCGGATACGCGGCCGCTCCTGTGCCGGAAACACGGCGGCCCTAGTGCTGGACGACTGCTTCTGTGCCGGACATGCGGCTGCTCCTGTGCCGGAAACACGGTGGCCCTAGTGCTGGACGACTGCTTCTGTGCCGGACACGTGACCTCTCCTGTGCCGGAAACACGGCGGCCCTAGTGCTGGACGGCCGCTCCTGTGCCGGGCACGCGACCTCTCCCTTGCCGGAAACACGGCGGCCCTAGTGCTGGACGGCCGCTCCA